AGAAGAACGAAACAAAGGTTTGTAAACATGCTAAGCACTCTATTGACGTAATACAACGTGAGCCGGCAAAGACGCAAATTACCAAAGAGAAAAAGAAATTGACTGTCCGAGGTTTGTTTGTAAGTTTACGTACGGTAATAAAACTCAAACGCAACTAGCACTCGTATAGTATTTATAGTTTCGTGTTCAAAAACAAATCAGGACAAAACAGGTATGATGAAAACTATAACCAAACTGGCATAACGGTCAAAATTTAACCAAATCCCAATGGCATCAGAGCGACTGCGATTATCCTGAGGTTAATCGCAACTAGCTCATCATGACGATCTCCGGTCATCGCAGTGAAGAAAGCCTCTGAAATTATATTTTCCTGTCTTCGAGTGAACAACTAATAGCTTGCTCTAATATCCTTTCCGATGTTTTGATTTGAAAGCCACATCAGTCAAAGCAGCTGATTATGATTCATCCCGAGCAATCTTCATGTTCCTGTAAATTCGACTGTCGTTCATTCATTGAACATGCGCTTTGAAGAGTTTGTTTCCTAATTGTCATGATAAAAAAAATTTTGTATTTTTATGAGGCACAAATCAGCTGCATTTCACTGAAAATTTCGCTTTCAGATTCTGTTTTAAGCCTCAAAAAATACTAGCGAAAGTTTTGAATTCGACCTGCCGGACCATTGAAGGTAGTGATTTATTGATGGTTTGTGAGCTTTGATGGTTTGAAGTTTTCGACAGTATTGGTCCATTTAACCAATCAGATTATTTGAACTATTCTAAAAAAGGTTACTGATCAGCTTATTTTGGCGTGTTTCATGAGTATAAAACATGCTGACAACACTTCTGTTCGCCTCGAAAATTATCATTCGATTTGAGAATTGAAAGTAATAAGTAGAGAATAGGACGGATTCTTTATAATACAACAAATAAAGAAGCCTGGACTGCATTCCGTTCTGTTGTAAAGCACTAAGGAAGCTGCAAGTTTACTCTACTCGTATACAGTAAATGGTTTGAACCCGGGGTTACATGCTTTAGTGTAGTTTGATTGTCCGAGTGAGTGTAGGTCTGACAACGACTGTTGTCGGTATTGGTGGCTGCCGTTTCGAAGTCATTATCAGAGTCAGTAAAATAATTGTTATAGTCATTCCAATGTTCTAAGTCCAGTCCGAAACACACTGATGACTGGGACTCTGTGTAATACCTAACCTACCGTACTAACCACTTTCAACGACTGACTCTGGAAAGCTGGTATAGTAACTTAAAACAGACTCCCTTCAACAGGTGCCATCTTCTGCCGGCACCATGCAAACGAATCATTCCGATTGGTTCTTTAAGCATATTTATTCGCTGTTTTCGGTATTCTAGCCGTTCTCAATTCATGCGAGTTTCTTTCATTACGATGTTTTAGAAAAGATAAAAAGCCGCAGTAGTTTTTGAGTAGTAAACTAAGAGATTTTTGCCTTGTTGCATGCTTTTATTGTATACCTGTATGGTTGGTACTTTGTTGTTCATTTGTAGTGAAATTTTTAGGTAAATATAAGTGTTAATGGTCTTTCTGGAAAATTTGTTTCCCATGGTAGTTGGTAGCTGAGTCTGTGCTCGTAATTTTAATTTCCTTTCATACGATAGTTTCCACACCAACCTTGCATAGATAAGCAGAACTATTAATTACTTGTCCAGTTTTATTTCCTAAGCTACGCTACTACAAGTAAGGCATGTATATTTTCTATACCAGAACTATGAATTCTCACTAAGTTTCTAAGCAGCCTTCGTTTATATTTAGAGACCTTTTCCGCTTCTTTTGTTATACTTTTCAAATATGGTCAGTTTAGACAGCAATAGCATCTCACACCAGCTCAATACTTAAGTAAGCAATTTGTAAAGGTTTTCCAATAACTAAACTGAAGAGGCTAGAGGTTATGTCAGTTATTGGCCTGAATTAGAATAAAGTCTACTGTGGAACCAAAACGTTGTTTCATCCTTGACGTCCGTATAAGCTCGCTAGAAGTAGATCTCCGTGTGCCAGGAAAACATGACGAGTTTCCGTTCTCGCAAGCCGAGTGGTCTCTACCGAGTTATTTTCCCCCGTTTTGTACCTTTCACGCGAAGTCCAGTTTCCCACGCCAAAAACTATCGTCTCACATTACATACGAACCGAACGGAACAGGTTCTCGTCAGTCACCACCACCGACAACAGTCCTTCTAAGGACTGCACTCACCTGGACGATCAGACCACACTATCATCTGCTTACAGATGTCTGACAGTAGCCGTGCCTACATCCGGTTTCAAGCCGCTTTTTCAAACCTGAAAAGGTTTTCTGTTAGTTTGGAATTTTCAGGCAGAGGGGATTGGTTTTGTTTTTTATTGTATTTGTGTTTTTGTTTCAGAACATTTGGAAATTCAAGTAATGAAAGGAGAGAAACTACAACAGTAGGTCAAGTTGATTATTTCTTTATAATTTCATATAAGTCTAGTATATTCTAGTGTAGTTT